AAGCGAATGGGGGTTTACGGAATCGAAATTTCTAATCTCGAATTTTCCGGGTACAGCCCAGAACGCATTCGAAAGTATGAATTATGATGATTTTGTACGCAAAAACTTCATGAAAGGAAAACAAAAAACATCTAATAGAAAGAGGAGATCAAGCTGCATTGAATGACACTCGAGCTGTTAAGCGTTTGATGTTCTACGATGTTTGAGTTGACCAAGAATGGAAATCGGTAGCACCAATCAAAATTCTATTAACAAATTTTGAGGAGTTCTGTGAAGGAGGAAAAAATCGTTTTGTACCTTGTAGAGTTTGCTCTATCGAATCGTTACTTGGACCCCTTTGGAGGATTGATGTACACATTTAGAAAAATTGTGAAACTTGAGCATCTCAAAAAGCATGGGTCGCAGGTTTTGGTTATTTTCCGAAAGCTCTATGATTGAGCTGCAAAGATTTCACCACTACTGGAAAGAGAATGAAATTCTGCATCGAATGCTACCAAGATCTCTTAGAAATATTTGTTCCATCACATGTGGCGTCCGTTTGAAAAAAAGCGAATTACTTTCGGAATGACCTAATATACAGAGTGTCCCAAAAAGATGTGCACACTGTTTGATCGTTAATAACTCTCTTGCTTTCATGTCTTTTGCCGAGCTTGAAGTATCATTTTGTAGTGCGAGGATGAACTTAGATTTACAGTATTAAGCGAAACTCCAATCTCTTTTTGCTACTGTAGGATTACGGTATGAACTTTCAGCATACAGCATCACTGTGGGATAAGCCTTTTGATGAAATAATTCCAAAAAAATTTAAAAAATTGTGTAGCAAGGTTTTCAGGCGTGCTGATTTCGCTACATAACTTTCCATCAGTTTTTCGAGCTTTCTTGATGGCGTATTCACATTTCTGCTGAACACTGGAAAATCAGTTGTTACCCTAAACTGAATAAACTCATGAAAGAAACATTGTACTAACGTGCAGTTTTCAAATTTAGAATCAGCGACTATGATTAACCGAGTTCAAGAGTTTCTGGTTTATTTGGCTTTTTCCTGAGGCAAAATACAGCTTTCGATTGCTGAAAATCCTCCTCGAAATTCCTACCGTAATTTCACAGTAATGAAAAGCGGCTGGTAAGTCACTCCATACTGTAAATCTAAGTTTATCCTCGCTCTACAGAATGGTACCTCAAGCTCGGCAAAAGACATGAAAGCAAGAAAGTTATTAACAATCAAACAGTGTGCACATCTTTTTGGGACACCCTGTATATATAATATATACAGGGTGTCCCAAAAAGATGTGCACACTGTTTGATTTTGAATAACTCTCTTATAATGAGGTCTTTCGAGAAGCGGTAAGCGCCATTTTGTAGAGCTAGCTTCAACTTAGATTTACATTATAGAGCAAATCACCGACCACTCTTCATTGCTGTAGGATTACGGTAGAAACTTGGAACATATGGTGTCAATGTGGAAAAAGCTGCCGTTTCAGAGTTTTTCAAAATATGTGAAAACTTGTCTAACAGGGTTTTTAAGGACGCTGAGTTCAACACTCAACTATTCACAAGATTGCGAAGCTTTCTAAACGGTGTAACCGCACTTTTTAGGAACATTGAAAATGGCCGCTACCTCTTACCTGGCGTAAGTCTTCAGTGAAGCATTATAATAAGTTGGAAACTTTACAATTATAATCAGCAACTCTAATAGCCTAGTATGAAAATTTTGTAGGTTGTTTTTTTCTTTCTGAGGCAAAATACGGCATTTCATGGCCCAAACCCTCTTTCAAGTTATTACCGTAATCCTACAGTAATGAAGAGTGGTCGGTGATTCGCTCTATACTGTAAATATAAGTTGATAGCTCCACAAAATGGCGCTTACCGCTTCTCGAAAGACCTCATAATAAGAGGGTTATTCAAAATCAAACAGTGTGCACATCTTTTTGGGACACCCTGTATATATATATTAGGTGGGTGCAAAAGTTTTGTCAGTTTTTTCAATCCATCGGCAAACACGCTAGAATGAAGACAAACGAACGTTTCAAAATGTATCCGATGCAGATTTTCTTCCTCTTTCCAGCTGTCAAACTCCCATTTTGTTTTTTGAGAGAGTGATGAGATTTTCGCTGGAAATTGCAACCATTCGTTTTTACCATGTCCAATTCACTAATTTTCAAAATTTTTGTATAAGACTTTTGGAGGAGCCCTAATAACAAGCAGATAGGGCAAACCTTTTGCCAACAGAATCAATTTTTGTAGCCCTACGGCTTGTCTTCCAGAATTTCTACGATTTATTTTTTGAAGTGACCAAATTTTACATTCAGCCTATTTTTACCTCGGAGAACATGAAATGGTAAACACTTCAAGTACCATTCAATGCAACTTTTTCTCCTCTCTCTAACAGCTACTTTTTCTTGGCGAGACACGAGAAATATGGAGGAGAAGTTGCAGTATTTCTCTATTTTACGGGTACGCACTGTCATACCCTATGTTTCCAAATCTTCATAATTTGAAGCGAAAATCGCTCATCTACTTTGTAATGATAGCGGTAGTAATAATCGAGGTTGAAACCTCAGTATTTTGTAAGTTTTGCAGTGTTTGGTGCAATAACAGCTTGTGCGATTTTTCCAAAACACAAGACTTTCAGAAAATTATGTAGCAAAAATCTGAAAAAGCAGCTGAAAAAAAGAAAAAATTGCTTCTGTTGGCAAAAGGTTTGCCCTATCTGCTGGTTATTAAGGCTCCTCCAGAAGTCTTATACAAAAATTTTGAAAATTAGTGGAAGTTGGACATGGTAAAAACAAACGGTTGCAATTTCCAGCGAAAATCTCATCACTCTCTCAGCATAACACAATGTAAGTTTGGTAGCTGGAAAGAGGAAGAAATTCTGCATCGGATACATTTTGAAGCGTTCGTTTATCTTCATTCTTGCGTTTTTGCCGATGGATTGAAAAAACTGACAAAACTTTTGCACCCACCTAATATATATATATCTTATATATAAAGCTGAATGTCTGTTTGTATGTCTGATCGACATCGATCGATAACGAAAAGTGGCCTATGACACCCGCCGGGGCCCGATGTGTATGTGTGCCAAGTTCGGTCCGGATCGGTCCAGAAATGGAATTTTCTATTCGGAACATACGTACAGACAGACAGACATACAGACATACAGACATACAGACAAACAGACATTCAGCTTTATATATAAGATAAGTAACTTTCAAAAATTTCGCGACCCGGTACGCCACTGCTTTCGAGTACTTCCTTTTGACAGTTTCAAGCAGTTTGGAGCCTGTATTCTTGTTTAGCGCTGCAGTAAGGCACAACAAATAAAAAAATACGTAAGACGACGACTTGCGCGGACGTTGCCCATGAAAACAGTCCACCCAAGTTCTCGACTTCCATGTTGTTGTTGTTCCGGGGCCTTCTCATGCTCTTGTTTAAGAATATGTAGTCGGGAATCTGCGTGTCATGCAGTCCGAATACGTAAAAGGTTGTGTTTGCGTAGTGCGACTCTTTGCTCAGTAAGGGCAAAGGGATGAGTGTTAAAGAAATGCTCTATAGCTGACAATTCTACTAGAAAGCTTCTGTAATTTTTCAATCATCTCACTCCTTTTTCAGGGATTGTAAATGTCGCTGTAATATTCCGACACAGTACATAATCTTTGCAAATCATCAAAAAAATTTTCGAGCCGGACAAGACAGGGCAACCATCAGCGCGTTTATCATACCCCTTGTCCGGGAGACGACTTTATTTATGTGATGAGAGAATTGTGAAAGAAGTATCACAGCGAAGTGTGATTGACCAGTATGCAAGCTTATGGCTTGTTTGCTTTTCTTTCTGAAGCAGAATATGGCTTTCAATGGTCTGGCCTTCCCTAAACTCCTATCGTAATCCCTCAATAATGAAGAAATCTAAGCTAAATCACCCTCCACATCAAAGTGTGCACTTTTTTGGGATCATGGTGTGTGCCTTGCGAATAAATCTTTTTTACTTTCAAAGTATGGGAAAATTCTAGAAAAAAAGCTCGTCATATTTATTAGCAACACATAATTTTCCATAATATTCCGTTGTTGGTTCCGACTGGCCTTTGTTTATGTACGGTCCCAAATCATCATCTATGAGCTTCAACGAGCTGCAAACAAGTCTTTTCCTTATTGGACACCCTTCATTCACAAAAGTCCTATCTTACATTCTAACAATTTCATTTTTTTGCTCGAGGACACTTAGCAAATATATATTCCGAGTTAAAATGCAACTTAACTTGCGCAACTAATAGCAAACTTTAGCTTAAAGGCAAGAAGGTTTGGAAGGAAGGCCCGGCACGAGTCCGTTTTCAAGCTTTTTGAAAACGAAGTCCCCCCTGACTTCCGGAAATTTTACGATACCCTCCGACAGTGTGAAAAGCAGACAAAAGTAAACACAAAGAACTTTATTCAGATATTTAGATTTTTGGAAAAAAGGTACTTTCAACAAAACAACATAATTGAACTTCAAATGTTTCAGTACTAACTATGAGTGGCTGCAAAAAGAAAATTTATGAGATCAAGGTGAGGGGTTATTATTCGGTTTTTTTTTGGTGAGAGAGAAAAGAAGATCACTATTAGACGATTCAGGGAGATGAACAGAAAAATTAGCAGACGATTTACGAGTATGGCGGCTGTCTGTTGTAGAATTGGGAGTGTAAAAATGCCCAGGGATTCCCTATGTTGAACTCATGGGGGTGTGCATGTGCACACCCCTCTGAGGTCAACATAGGGAATCCCTGGGGCGCTGGGAGCGCCGCGGGCGCTAGGATCGAGATCCCAACGCCTGCGGCGCCAGCGACTACCGAGGGCGGTGATGGCTGGTGGGGGGTGGTTATAAGGGGCTGAGCCGACTCATGCGCCGACGAATCCTGCACTGGGCGCGCTGGCTGCGCTGGAAGTGCGAAGAGTTTGTTGAGCACCTGAAGTGTAAATGAAAATAAATTGATTGGATGATTTATATTTGTGACCAACCAAAAACAGTATTAGGTAGACAGCGGGAGATATGCGCTATTGAGGTATCCGATCGGATCTCTGAAGGTTGACTGTGACCCGGATGTCTCACACTGGACTTCGTGAAAATAGTATTTTGGCTCACTAAATGTTTAGGCTAACATGGCTTACCATGTTAATGGGGCGATCGTCATCCTTGGGTATGTAACCCGCCTCCGCTGCAGGTACAGAAAGAAGCAGAAGAGTCACTACCCCTGCTATCGCGAAGCTGTAGCTGTTGGAGCTGAATACAACTAACCGTTTTCGAAATCAAAAAAAGTGAATGAAGCGATAACGCAAAAAACCAAGATGTCAACTAGCATTTGTAGATAAAATTTTCCAAAAACCGTACCTGGCTAGTAGTTCCGGTGATTTTCTTAGTTGTTGCTGAGAGCGTCTTGTTACTTTTCTATTGATGAAAGTAGTAGCCGCCTGAATAGGCGTTAATCGAATGTACGAAAATGATAGAACTCCAAAGAGTTTTCAGAACATTGTTGTACCTTATCAGGTGTCTGGATGAAACACGATTCATTTTGGAAAGCGCTGCCAACCAGTGATGAGTAACGATTATGTACAGTCAATATTGTGGTTACATACAGTTTCGCATCCCGTGTTTACGAATTCATTTTCACAAGTTCTAAAATCAAAACAAGTTGATCTACCGTGAATGCCGTATCTGCAACTTTGGCAATAGCTGCAAGACCTTCCTTGGTGATGTGACTTTCGAGCGCAGATCTCAGATTATTAAGACCATCTTCAACTCGTTTGCATAACTGAAGGCAACTGGGATTAGTAACCCTGATGGCACAAATGCCTCGCTGTAGGTAGGAAACGGAAATAAGAAATTACACTTAGAAGACATGTGATTCGATAAGTAAAACAGCAAATTGGTCATAAATAGAACTGGAAAAGAAATGAGTCTTCTAAACGCTGTAAACGTTTCATTTTTCCACTATCACTATGCAGTCCCCATTCCAAAAGCGCAAAACTGCTTTAACTTGCACCTTTCTCAAAGTGTTATTTTCTTCTGAATGAACGACTCAACTCCTTCATCAAAACAGAAAAAAACGAATGATAATACAATCACTTCGGCTTACTATTCGTTATGTAACCGCACGCAACACTGGAAAAAGGGAGCAACATTACAAAATAATTGTTGCAATCCAGCAAGACATATCGCACAACACACGGAAATCTTTGCTCTAGAGTAGATGATGTGTACATCGCTAGGTGTACGCTGGCACTGGTTATAATACAGAAAGTTAAATTAAGCAATTTACATTTGTGTGGGCAAGTTTTACAAAGTTTCAAACGGGAAAGGACCTGTTACGAATATATTATTTTCAGAAAGCAGCTGCTATATCCAAAAATAACTCGAAAACTTGAAGGAGAACTTCGACAACACAAAAACGAACCTTGTACATCCTAGCAAGATCATCATCCTTGTTTGCTTCAAGTAGGGCGCCAAACTCGCTTTGAAAAAGTTCCAGTTGCGCTTCAATCAATACCTGCAAAGCATACAATGCTCAAGACCACTCGAATGACAGAATTCCGATTGAAAAGAAAAGCAACTAAAGACGCAAACCAAAAAACATCTGTCGTACCTTCTCGCAACGCTTCGAAAGAGGCTCTTTTGTAGCCATATGAAGGTACATATCACGTCGAGCGAGCTCATCCTCCCTTCTTTCAACATAGAGGGATAAAATATGCAATGACACTTCAAGAAAGGGTGAGAGGTAACAACAGAATCAAATTCTAGAGTGGACCTTTTTCACAAATTCCGTGAGTGGATTATTCTCTAGAAAAACTTGAGCTTCATTAGCATAGCATAATAGTTTTCCGTTTCTCGTAGAAACTTTGCTTCAAAATGATCCTACACTGAGATCTGATTTAAAAAAACCAAAGTTTGCAAGCAGAAAAAATGGATTCTCACCATATTCACCCTCACTTTCGCATTAGGATTGGAGCCGAGCTACTTGGTCCGAAGTTTCATCCTCTTCTATTTCGAGTTCAACTAGCATAAATAATTATGTGTCGCAAGCAGAAGCAACCAATTTGCTCACATACCATAACAATCAATGACGTCACGGATCAGCTTACGAGGGATAGTCTCTCCATTCCGTTCGCGCTTGATCAAATCTAACACAGCATCGCTAACCCCTTCTTTGCTTTCCATGAACAAAATTCTTTTCCATATCACAAGCGCCAACTAGAACAGAGATATTCAAGTAAAGACTACATATAGCAAGGCATATAATGCTACTTTAGAGAAAGGATGTTTGAACCTGTCCGCAAGAATGAAGCTGCAGAAGCGAATGAACACCGGAAAGTCATCTAACCGGAAAGTCATCTAACGAGCTCGCAAACTACACACTGAAATTGAGACATGCACTATTCATAAGGTTTGCGGAAAGCAAAACAAATGATTATCTGCTAGAGCAAGATTTGGAAAGTACGTTGGGTACTGAACACCTCCTAGTCAAATCATCTTGCAGAACAGTTTTGACGATGCCGTATGAGGTACGTTTTGTCATGCAGGAAACACTGAATCTGTCTTGGCTTTTTCTGCGGTATGACCTCGTTAAGACGTTGCAGTTGGCTTGCAAGCGGTTTGGTCGACCGTCTTCTTCTTGTCCAGCAGTTTTCAATGCAGGATGCCCTACTCGCCTCCCTAAAATTCTTGCTCAGGAATACCCTGCTCAACCCTTGTCTTTTGTAGCAATCCAAACCTTTTTCTTCTCATGTTACTCTAATTTCACGCGTATAAGGCGCACTTTTTCGAATTTTCAAGCAATCCCTCAACCGCTTCACTGTATTCCGGAAAAAATCCTTACATCGCACGATTCTCTCAAGCAATATACAGCACGTTATAGGGTCCTTTGGTTGTAAAGTCCTTCGGCTTGTCTGGGCTGGTCGATTTTGAAAAAAAATCCTGCCCCTTAGGCCTAAGGCATACCTCACGCGAATCGGCCGAATCACCACTTTCACGCGACTTGGCAATTTGCCAAATTTCTACTAATTTACGTGCGCGCTTCTCGGATGCATAATTGGGTAGCTTCTGTAAGCTGTGGCAGACGGAGCAAGTTCCGACCAAAGTCAGCGCATTAACGACGAATTACGAAGAGTCGCTGTTGTGCCGAATTGCACAGAGATCGGAATCGCGCGAGGCTTGCCTTAGGCCTTATACGCGTGAAATTAGGGTATTTCGCGAACACCATATTCCATAGTCGGCAAAAGACCTATGCATGAAGCTTCTTTTTACAAAAAAATGCGCAGAATGAAATGTTGAAATTGCTCCTATCTGCCTTTCAAGATTTCCATAATAAGCAAGAGATCCGAGATAATTAGCTCTTTTTGATGATACACATCTTGCCACATCTCAACCGCTCCTCAAAGAAGTGACGAAAATAAAAACGCTACGAACTTATGGAACAACCCAATACAAAATATTGAAGATGTATCACATATTTGAAATGAGACTTTCATCAACAATCTGCATAAGTGTGTGCTGATTCATTAGCTACAGCACCAAATGGTTTTCTTACTCAAATGATAGAAAAGCAAGTGGTGCATAACCAATGAATAGCAAATAAAAAGACAAAAGTTTTCATGAAAAGAGCATAAGTTGCAAAAAAATTTTTTTGGCTGCAGAAAATCAGTAAGAACCAGTTCTGCAACAGAGCACCAAAGCTAGAAACAGGTAGGAGACTGATAAAAAAGTTCGCTTAAAAAGTTTTAAAGGATGCTTGTTGATCAAAATCAGCTTACCTGGATTCCAAAGCAAATAACGGAGCGAATAATAGCAGAAAAAAAGAGTAACTTGCGCCTCGCGACTGTTCGCCATCAACTGTTGAAATTGACTATGTCTAACGCGCAATCCAACACTTCTCGTGCATCTACGGAGCGGCAGACAACACCACCACCCCAGACGTACCCGGCCGCCAGTCATGCGTCGGCACCACGACCTCTTTGCGTCTCTACGTCAGACCCTCTTTTGACTGCGCATGACGGGCACGCTGGTGGTGCCTTGTCGCGAAGGACACGTTATCGCGGCGTTGCGCCAAGCATATGTCTCGGTCACATCGCCTATCGCTCATCATTTGGCGACAGTGAAAAGGCAAGAAACGGGCATTAATCGCGCTTCGAATGAATAATCACCACTTAAGGGGGGGGGGGGTTAATGCGACCAAGATGGAGTTAAACGCGAGTGACTTCTACACTGACTCTTTCCGCTCATCGATGCTCGTTCGGTCGCGCCGTTCTTAGTAGAATGATAGCCCGTTTTCCAAAGCATATCATTTACACGTGACATTTGCGTGACTCTCGTGTGAAAACGGTTCCTGACCAATGGGTAATTCGTTCTTCCTCGCATGTAGAGAGTCTGAGTAAAGCTCAGCTCTAAAGACAAGTTGATCTCGCAAATGATAGAGTTGTGCAAGGACCACGACACGGTTTCGCATGTCAAAGAGTCCGTCCAAACTGCCGGCTGTTTCTCGCTCTATTTGTCAATTATAAGGAACTCTAAGCAAAAAACTAAAATCTTTAGCAGCGTGAGTGACGCCACCCTATCAGCGATTCGACCACGAAGTAAGCCAGTTTAGGTGAGGACATTGACAGATGCTACAAGTTAGCACAAAAGATACTTATTCCACAATGAGACTCTTTGAAGATGGATCTACCAAAACGCCTGATGTTTGCCTTGTATTGGAGAATCTAATATACTGTAAGGGGAAGGGCTTATTGTTGGTGGAAGGCTCCTCTCAAACCTTCGTTTTGCTGACATTGTTTTCCTTCCAATAGTATCACCAAAGGAGAGACAATGCTAAGATGTTCGAAAAATCAGTGGAAGAGTTCCTATATAACCGATGAACTGAGTGTATGAAGAACACGCTCTGTGATATGAAAGGTGCTAGGCAACGCTATCAAGCAGATTCCTCTCAAGTGTACTTAGGACATCCGAGGAAATGATAAAAGACGACTAAGCGCATCATAGCGACTACTTCGCTAAACAAAAGGCCTTCGAAGAGACTGCCAACGAAGATTGAACCTTACACTTTGCGACTCAGCTCAGTGATCGCCAAGGAGAAGAAAGATCATTTCGAAGTTTATTTGATTATAATATAAATAAGTTGTATCAGTGGCGTACCGAGGGGGGAGGGGGGGGGGGGGGGGGCCCGCCCCCCCCCCGGTACGCCACTTATACATACATACATATCACTCTCTGCTCTCTCTCTCTATATATATAATCGCGACCCGTTTTCGACCCCCGAGAACGGGTCGCGATTTTTGAAAGTTACATGATTTATAAAAACACGCAAGTGACTTATTTATTTTTGTAAACAATTAAAATAATTTTTAAAAATTTTCAAAAATCTAATTAGGCTTATAAAAAAATTTTGGGGGCCGCAAAAATCTTGAGAAGCCCCCCTAAATTTTTTTCGGAGTGCGTGGCTGACGCCACGCACCTTCATTTGAAAACCGCCCCCCCCCCCCGAGCCGAAATCCTGAGTAGTAAGTTCGTCTAGTAACGCCTTTTGGTCGTTTATAATTTTCTTGCTTCTTTGTCTTTCGCCCTTTAGGTACCATTCCATAGTCCTTGGTTGGGAGACTTAGATTTACAAAATGGGTTTATCGATCGCTTTCCATTTGTTTAGAATTACGGTAGACACTCCCAGCATACACCATCATTATGAATTAGCTTCAATCGATAGTTAGAGTACACATATCGCACCCAGCTGAAACACAGGATCTCACAAGACTTTGCGTCGACCTTGGCTGCAGGCGTGCAATTTAAAATTAAGGTTTCTATAGCCCGTTTTCCCCTTCGTTTTCGACATTTTCATGACCTGCAGCCGCATTTTTGGAAACAGCGTGAAGAATAAGCTTAGTTGAGCAGAAAATTTCTTGTTCGAAGTTCGGCCTGGACGCTGTCTTTGACTTCTGAGTTCGTAAAGCTTTTTGAGTGCCGTGATTACCGTTTCAATAGAGCACTGAAAAAGCAATTGTTACGGTTATGTCATAATTCATGGATGAAGCATTATGAAAGTGCAATTTTCACAATTAGAGTCACATGCTGTATTTAGTCCAAGCCAAGATTGGGTTTGCTGGTTTCCCGAAGAGCTGTGGCAGTTTCACATTCAAAATCCTGCTTAATCTTATCGTATTACATTAATAAAGCTATATGTGATTTAAAATGTAGATTTAAGTTTGAGTCAGCTCTACAAAATGGTATTTATTGGAAGGCACTGGAGCACGAGCGATGTAAGCGTCCAAACCGTTCACATCGTTCACATCATTTTGAGAGAATTGACGGAACTGCCCGCGATGCAAGTGTGATAGCATTTCGGCAAGCACCTAGCAATACAAGTGCTGCTTCTACCTCCGACAGCAGACCATCTCTATTAGAACCGATACCAACTATACTAAAGACTGGTGTCTCAGCAATGTTGATTTTTTCAGAGTCCAATCGAAAACAAATCATTATTACCTATTCGAACGAACTTGTAAATTGCAGAAAAGATTCCAAGCCTCAGGAAAACAACAGTCACATCAAAACACATTATCTCTAATTCATAAAATGCGTTATCACAATAATCCCTTCCCAAACTCGCTAACCAAAGTATTCACGAAGTTCCCAAATTTTTTTAGGATTCAATCAAAAATGTTGCTTGAGTTCTTTGCACTTGGCATTCTGGCCTATTCCTCACTTGGACAAGGTAATTTGTTACAATGCGTCTATGAAACACAAAAACTGTACTATTTTTGAACTGGTGTATTGAGGTATTCTAACTCCGCAGGAGCTAGTAAATGCACTGCCTAAGCCTGCTGATCTCTTCGACTTTGAAATACCAGGGAGCGGCAATGTGCATAGCGCAAAGGGCGAAAAAGGCGCAGAAATGGGAATGAGTGATCAAATAAGACCGAAATCGAGCAAAGGAGCAGCTACCAAACCTCCCCACGAAGTAACCGAATTGCCAGGTCGAGACAAAGAACCGAATAAAGAAGCAACTACCAAACCTCCTACCGAAGTAACCGAATTGCCAGGTGGAGACAAAGGATCGGACAAAGAAACAACTACCAAACCTCCCACCGAAGTAACCGAATTGCCAGGTGGCGACAAAGAATCGGGAAAAGAAGCGACTACCAAACCTACCGAAGTAACGGAATTGCCAGGTG